ACAATTCTAAGACATTTTATTATAATCATTTGTTCCTATTATGTACAACTTGTAGGAGTCAAACTGGGGATCAAACTCAGGTCCCTGGGCTTGCTAGCAAGCAGCTTTACCCACTGAGCCATCTTGCTAGCCCCGTAAGGCAATGTTCTAAACATTCAATTTATGTTCTCATTTAACTCACATACCCCCAGTCTTTTGATGTGGGATTATTATGTCTACTTTATAGATAAGGCAACTGAGGCTCAAAGAGTTGAGTAACTACCTAAATAATAAGTTGGTAGGCGCAGGATTCAGATTCAAGCAGTCTAACTCCAGGATCCACCCGTCAGCCTCTGCTCAAGGTCTCTAGACTCAGTGTTCTAAAGAGCAGAGGTAAAGCCAGACGAGTAAAAGGTTGACTTAGGATCTCTAAGTAGAGCCAGAATAGAGAAGTCTGCAGTTATTAAAGAAATCCCTTCTGCCTTTGAATGTGGTCAGCTCAGTTTGTTTTTTGCTGTTTTGTTGTTGTTGTTGTTTTGGGGTTTTTTTTTATTGTTGTTTTTTGTTTTACAAAACAGGGTTTCTCTGTATTGTTTTGGAGGCTGTCAGACCAGCACCGCCTTGAACTCACAGAGATCCGCCTGCCTCTGCCTCCCGAGTGCTGGGATTAAAGTCGTGCGCCACCACCGCAGAAGAATCTGTACCATGTATAGGGTTCTTAGATGTAAATGACTAAAAACTTGCACAGTTCAGTATGTCTTGCGTGCTCATCCAGTAAATAATATAGCGCTAAAGGTAATGAGACCATTCAAGCTGAAAGAGGGAAAAAAAAAAAGATTCAGAGTTACAGAGAGGCAGATTCTAACTCAGATCAACAAAGAAATCCTGTCCTTGTCTGTGCTCAGCCCTAAGCAGCTGTGTACCAGCCAGCCAGAGGCTTGTACATGGTAGTCGGCCATGTGGTGAGAGAGTAGTCCTTGGTTAGAAGGTAAAGTCCTAGCTAGCCTTTGTTTTGTTAACATGATTGTAACTAAATCCAAAGAAACTGGGCCTCAAAATGTTTTCATTTAATAGTATGAGGTTTTTTGTTTTCTTTGAGAACTAATGATGTAGCCGGGCGGTGGTGGCACATGCCCTTAATCCCAGCACTCGGGAGGCAGGGGCAGGCGGATCTCTGTGAGTTCGAGGCCGGGCTGGACCGACAGCCTCCAAAACAATACAGAGAAACCCTGTCTCGTAAAACCAAAAAAAAAAAAAAGAATTAATGATGTAAGTGAATTAAATTTGAGTCATACAAGTTCTCACACTGTTTTATCTGTAGAGAACAACTAAGTAGGTTCTAGGTATTAATTAATACCTTGGGAAAATGTAATTAGATTTTAGGAGTACAGTGGGAAAAGCCAGTATTGAGGAAGGACTATTTAAAGTTCTGCCTAAAACAATGTGAGGTGTATGTTAATACTATTTGGTTTCATTGTCAGGCATAACCTGCCTCTTCTGGAACTTACATGAATCAGTAATTTAGAATATTAAACTAGATATTTGGGAAAGAAAAACAAAGGCCTTTGCATATAAGTTCAAAGCAGTCTATTTTGGCGTTAATCACCCTTCTTGAGTTATACAAAGAAAGACTGTTCCTGGGCTGTGGAAAGGAAGGACAGCTTTCTTAGGAGCATGACTGTAGTTGTTTGCTTTCGGCTCTTTGGCTGTTTTGAGGAGCCCACCACCCAGCTCCCAAATAAATCACACATGGATGCTTATTCTTAGTTATGACTGCCCAGCCTTTGCTTAGCTTAGCTTGTTTCTTGCTAGCTTTTCTTATCTTAAATTAACCCGTCTACCTTTTTCCTCTGGGCTTTTAACTTTCTTACATGTGCATTATCTTACTTTCCTTCTTACTCCGTGGCTGGCTGGGTGGCTGACACCCTCCTCTTCCTCCTCGGTTCTCCTTCTATTTACCCCCTCTGCCTGCCAGCCCCACCTTTCCTTGTTCCTGTATCGATGTTGGCCGTTCAGCTCTTTATTAGGACCACCAGGTGTTTAGACAGGCACAGTAACACAGCTTCACACAGTTAAACAAATGCAGCATCAACAAAAGTCACAGACCTTATGATAATATTCTACCACACAGGGTCAAAGCTCATGGACTTCCCCCAGCCTGCATTAAAGCAGCTAAGATTCAGTTAGCCATAAAAGACTTGAAGCTATGAAACATTCTACTGTTTGTAGTAATTTATGAGATGAGTGGGGCTTTGTTTGGTTGGTTTTTGTTTGTTTGATTTTCGAGGCAGTTTCTCTTTGGCTTTGGAGGCTGTCCTGGAACTGGCTCTGTAGACCAGGCTGGTCTCGAACTCACAGAGATCCACCTGCCTCTGCCTCCCAAGTGCTGGGATTGCCACCACAACCACGACCGACTGAAATGAATGTTATTCTTTTTTTGTTTTGTTTTGTTTTGTTTTACGAGACAGGGTTTCTCTGTATTGTTTTGGAGGCTGTCGGTCCAGCCCGGCCTCAGACTCACAGAGATTCGCCTGCCTCTGCCTCCTGAGTGCTGGGATTAAAGGTGTGTGCCACCACCGCCGGGCGAAATGAATGTTATTCTAAACAAATCAAATGTGTCCTGTTTAAGCAGGGCACCAGGCACGGTAGGCTCATACCTTTGATCCCAGCTTCAAGAGGCAAAGGTAGATGTCTGTGAGTTTGAGGTCAGCCCGGTCTACATAGTGTGTTTGAAGCCAGCAGACAACCTGAGTTTGCTTCTAAGAAATATTTATTTTGTGTGTGCAGGAAGGAACCAACTCCTGAAAACTGTCCTCTGACCACTGCACACACAAATAAGTATTTTCAAAGTGTTCAAAGGAAACCAGGTGTAGAGGTACACACCTACAAGCCCAGCATTTGAAAGGTTGGGGCAGGAGAATCAGGAGTTCAAGGCACAGTGGACAATGTGAGATCCTGACTAGATTAAAAAAAAAAAATTAAAAAGGAAGCTGGGCATGGTGGTCCATGCCTTTAATTCCAGCACTCAGGAGACGGAGGCAGGTGGATCTGTATGAGTACGAGGCCAGCCAACACTACAAAATGAGACCCTATCTTTAAAAAAAAAAAAAACCACAAAGAAAGGAGATAATTGTGTACTGTCACACAATAAGATGGCTCTAGATAATAATGACATACATTTTCAAAAGCTAGAATAGAGGACTTTGAGTGTTCACCACAAAGCAATGTCACATGTATAGAAGCTATTTCTGACCTGATTTAAATATTGGATAACAGATATTCTTCAGAACATCTCATTACTTCATATATAATACAGTTTTTATGTATTATTACACATTACATTTCATTGTTTATACAAGAAGAAGGGGAGATGGCTCAGTAGGCAAAGTGTTTGGTTTTAATACTGGGAAGATGCTTCAGTGGGTAGCATGAGGACCTGAGTTTCGACCCCCAGCATCCACCAAGAAGCTGGGCATGGCCGCAAGTGCCTGTAACCCCAGCACTGGGGGGTGGAGAGAAGAGGACCCCAGGGACTTGCTAGCAGCTAGTCTAGCTGAATTGGCAAGCTCCAGATTCACCAGATTCAGTGAGAGATCCTGTCCCAAAAATTCAGATAATGATTGAGAAAGACACTCAGCATTGGCATCTGGCCTCCTATGTGAGCACATACATATGTGCACACACATACACACCTATACACACACACACAAATGGGAAAAAAAGATCATGATCTTAAAAATAAGAATTTTTGGGAGATGAAGAAATGGAGGAAATGGATGACTTTCCCTTCAAGATGTCCTTGTTAATTCTCCATCTTTTGCTATAGTACGATTCCAAGTAGATTATGTAGTTGGTGCCATTATTACTCTTGTTTATTTGGTATTTTTGACACTAGGTCTTATGTAGCCCAGGCTAGCCTCAAGGCTGGCTGTCTTTCCTTTGAGTAACCCTTGAACAATGCCTCCTAAATTTCTTAAGATTCGTGTGGTCAAAATAAAATATTTTATTACTTATTATAGAGTTTAACACCCTGAAAACTAAAGACGTACTATTTGTGAATAAGAAGAAAGCAGTATGAATACTACATACATCTTTTCTTGAATCTCTCTCTCTCTTTTTTTTTTTTTTTTTAGACAGGGTTTCTCTGTGTTTTTTTGTTTTGTTTTGTTTTTAGAAGCACTCTTATTTACATATCAATCCCCCCCCATTCCCTCACCCTCCTTTGCTCCCCACCAACCCCCAACCCACCTCCCTACCTATTCCCCAGGGATAGTGAGGCCCTCCACGGGGGATCATCAAAAATCCATCACATTATTTGGGGTTTCTCTGTGGTTTTGGAGGCTGTCCTGGAACTCGCTCTGTAGGCTGGCCTCTAACTCACAGAGATCCGCCTGCCTCTGCCTCCCCTTCCGAGTACTGGAATTAAAGGCGTGTGCCACCAATGCCCGACTTCTTGAATCTCTTTGGTTTTATTTGATGAGCAGTTTAGAGAAAGGAATTTTTTTTCTTTTTTTTGGGGGGGGTGCTGGGAATTGAACCCAGGTCCTCTGGAAGCTCAGCTGAAGAGCTGAGACATTTCTCTCCAGCCCCATTTTATTTTTAAATTTATTGTGTGTGTGTGTGTGTGTGTGTGTGTGTGTGTGTGTGTGTGTGTGTGTACACTCCATGGCACATGTAGAGACAAGACAGCTTGTGTGCGTGCGTGTGGGTGTGTGGGTACACTCCATAGCACATATAGAGACAAGACAGCTTGTAGGCTTGATTCCCTCCTACCCACGTGGGACCAGGAATGGAACTGAGGTCATCGGGTCTTTTTAAGAAGTGTCTTTACCCACTGAGCCATCTTGACAGCCTGAAAGTTTCACCATTTTAGATGGAACTTGGGTTAGCAATGTCATGTCAGTGTTTAGAAGGCTTCTTATAAATTTACGCTGTCTGATGGGAAGTGTGTCGCCTGTAATCATTAGTCTAGATCTGACCGCAAGAGTAGGAGCTATCTTTTCCTTTTTACTCTCTTTCAGGGGATTTTGATGAACTCACTCAAGATAATAATGACATCATGTTGAAAAACATAGCTGACGACCTTCGGAGCTGTCTGCCCCAGGAGGCTGTGCTTTGCTCGGAACAACTAGCCCTTCAAAAAGTAAGTATGTTGAACCAAATTCATTTCTTTTTGTGCCACTCAGGAAATCTGGTTTCCCTAACCCCACACTTTGTAGTCTTGTTAGTTGTAAATTCAGCTTTAAGCAATTTTTTACCTAATGTTTCAGTCATATCTCCCTTTCTCTTGAGACTTTAACCTTGGGATTCCCTGGTACAATTTTACTTAAAAAATATTTTTTAGGAGAATCCATTTATGAGCCTATTTAAAAACAAAAAACAAAAAACCAAGTGTTAACAGTCTGGGCCTTTTCCATCTATAAACACCTGAGCAGAGGAATTAAATCCTATGTTATTGCTTTTTTTATTGGGGGGAGCACCATAGGAGAGTATGGTTTATTTAATTATTTGATAAGTCGATCAGGTTTTATTGCTCAGATCTTGGTCTGTAGTACTGCTGGCCTCAAAACTGAGGCCTCAGCCTCCAAGCACTGGGGTTATGGGTGTGTCACCATGCCCAGCTCAACATTTCCTCAGTGTGTGGGTACTGTGAGCACTGAACAGGTCTTAGAAAGGGCAAAGCAGAAGGTAATGGTAAAATGAGACTTTGGAACACAGTTTGGGATGTTGTTACTGGATTTGTAATGCAGTTGGGGTGCTGTTAGTGTTCTTATCAACACCATGCTATAATATAATATGTTAAATAAGGAAAAGTATTCATGTATTAATATTAATAATTGGCCTGTAGTCCTTAAAAAATACTGTGAACGCTTTTGAAAGGAAAATGAAGATGAACATGATAGCACATGCTTGCAATTCAGGCACTTAAGAGGCCAGGGCTGGAGGATTGCTGGGAGTAAGGGGAACGGCAGCTACATTTTTATATTTTTAATATATATTAATGTGCATATTATCATATATCGGATACTATATATGTGTGTATATAAATAATGGGTTTTTTATTTTTATATTTATTTATGTTTGAGGCAGTTTCACTATAGCCTTGACTGGCCTAGAATTTGTGTAGACCGGGCTGCTCTCAAACTCACACAGGTATCCTCCGCCTCTGCCTCCCAAGTGCTGGGCTCAAGTCATTCAGCACCATGCCTAGCCTGTTGTGTTTGTGATACAGGCTATAATCCAGGCTGACCTTGAATTTACTAAACAGCCCAGTCTGGCCTCAAACTCAGGCGCTTCTGCCTCAGTCTTCCAAGTGCTGGTATTACAGATGGGAACTGCCATGCTCACATATATAAGCTTGAAGTTTTAGTAGTACTTTAAGCAATTTGAAAACTTGGCTTTCTGAACAGAGATGACTTTCAAAGTATTTTGATGATTATTGACATGTCAGATTCACAAGTTAGATGTCAGCCATGTTCCATGCCCTTCCAGACTGAAGAGAAAGTTATCAGGAAAGCAATGGGGGAGGAGCGGTAAACAGAATCGAATGGCAGCACTGTCTTTCTGTGCCTTGTTCTCAGGACTTAGCAGAACAGCGCTGATGTTTGCCTTATTTAGCAATGAAAAGACGTTTCTTTGTGCTTCTCTTCCTTTGATGTGCTTCTCCAGATACGACAGCAGCCAGAACCCACAGTTCACGTTGATGCATTCCTTTATGATGAAGACGTTATTGATTCATTATGCGAGGAGGGGAAAATGAGCAGAAACTTCTGTACTGTGTGTGGTTCACACCAAATAGCACCTTTGGGTAGGCATTCGAGTTTGCAAAGCTGCAGTGTGTGTGTGGTTTTCTCTCCCATGTCTTGAGTGTGTAAATTTTATAATCAGACTATTGGACATCTTTTAAAATAAAAGAACCTCCAGCATAGCCATTACCAAGTCTAAAGGTAGGGAGACTACATAGAAATATTTTTTAAGGGGCAGCCAGATGACTCAGGGGGCAGACGTGTTTGCTGTCAACCCTGATGACCTGAGTTCAGTCACTGGGGCCCACGTGGTAGAGGAGAGAACTGACTTCCTCAGGTTGTCCTCTTGAGTGCCACACGCACTCTGAGACACTTACACTAGTGCACGCTCACACTCAAGTACGCACGTGGGTGGGTAGATAAAATGTCACAGAGTGTGGAGGTCAGCTCACTTAGTGTCCTATCCGGAACTGTTTAAGCAGGATAGCTCTTCAGCCCAGAGCCTGACAGACAAGACTAAAGACAGAGGACCTGCCTCATACTTCATGTTCTCTACAGATTGATGCAGACCACGTGCTGGCTCACTTCCTGTGAGAAGTGTAACTTCTAGGGCATCTAAAATAGTCTCCATGCTTAACAAGTCCGACAGTGATAAAATACTACTGGGTGGAGTTAGACAGAGACGGCAGGGTCCCAAGAAAAGTTATTTTGGGTGTTGTTTTAACCAAGTGACACATCTCTAAAGATGACATTCACAGGATAGAAAAAGATGTGGCTGAGAGCTAGAGGAAAAACTGGCATGTGAATAACTAAAATGCCATAGACCAAATGACTGATTTGTAAACATTTATAGAACTAGGTTTGACAAACAAGCAGGGCTATGTCTCCCCTGTAATCAGTTATAAATGATGATTGGACATCCAGAGCTGCTCAGATAACTAATGAATCTGAGATGTTTGTCACTGTGACTCTGACAAGTACCCAGAAGACGGATTTGTCTAGCTTTGGGATTCCCCCAGAAGAATCATTGGTGTGGTGAGGGGCTATAAGGATGAAGAGCCAAGGGAGATGAGGCCTGGGGTGGCCTAGCCCCTCTCACCTCTGAGACACAGGCACCCCCTATGTTCTCGGCCTGGGGTGGCCTAGCCCCTCTCACCTCTGAGACACAGGCACCCCCTATGTTCTCGCCCTGGAGACTGCTTCCATTTAGTTGACACCTTGTGGGTTTTTTGTTTAGTTGGTTTGTTTGTTTGTTTGTTTTTTTATAACCACAATATCTCCCCTTCCTGACAGTTAAATTCTATAAGACAGAATTGTGAGTCTTTGAGTGTCCTGTAGGTCAGCGGAAAACCAGAGTCCGGCTGTCTGAGAAACTTAGACAAGGAATATAAAAGTGACACAGCTGGCCAGTCATGGTGGTGCAGGCCTTTAATCCCAGCACTCCAGAGACAGAGGTGGGCAGGTTTCTCTGCGTTCCAGGGCAGCCAGAGCTACACAGTGAGACCCTGTGTCAAAAACAAAACTGTAACTTGATGTTCATTTTCTTCTTTCTCCAGGATTTATTTCTCATTCCTTCTCACTCGTGGAGTTGAAGTTCATTTATCAGCATGTACTCCCCGATCTGTCGGGAAAGGTCTTGGTTGACATTGGCTCCAGACTTGGCACAGTCCTTTATGTGGTAAAGTCCAGCTTGTGGACATACGCAACATGTGGAAAATACTTTCTTCTTCTAGCAACAGTTTTGCCTGCCACCATCCAAGGTGACAGCTTGGCTTTATTATAAAGTAACAGGATAAGGTCAAAATAGGATCCTTTGGCAGGCTCCTAAATTCTGCTCCATGGTAATAATTGGGTTTGGAATTTCAAAGACCAGCTGTCCAATTTCCTCTCCTGGTTTGTCTCCACAACACAAATGACAAATATAAACAGAATGGACCATGTGACTGACTGTCAACTCTCCTCTCCTCTCCCATTTCCTCCTCTCCCCTCTCCTCTCCTCCTCTCTTCTCTTCCTCTTACTACCAGATCTATTTTTTTTATTTTGGGGTAGGGATAAGGTGCTTTCATGTGGCCAAGGCTGGCCTCAAACTTGCTATGTAAATAAAGATAACCCTGAATTCCTGCCTTAGCCCACTAAGTACTGTGATTGTAGACTTGTCTCCGTACTTGGCTTCTTTTTCTTTGGCTATATTAAAATAAAATAGCATATTGAAGTTTGATAAAAACTCATAAAAGAAACAAATTTCATCGGCCTAAGAAACTTTTGTGTGGCCATAGCAAGTCGCTTAATGGTTCTGAATATCTAGTTCCCTATCTTTAAATGGGTGATGTCCAAGGATATGTTGTATCTGATTTTCTGTGACCCAAAATACACACATTGCTTTTGTTTCTGAAATATCACTTCAGCTGGTGGGAGGCAGAGACAGGCAGATCTCTTGAGTTCAAGGCCAGCCCGATAGTCTACAGATGGAGTTTCAGGAAAGCCAAGGCTACACAGAGAAACCCTGTCTCAAAAAAAAAAAAAAAAAGAAAGAAAAAGAAGAAGGAAATATTACATCACTGTTTTGCTGTGTCTCTTGTTACAAATTCAGACGTAGTTTTTGCATGTGTTGATAGGCAATCAGAAGCCAGCCATAGTGGTACATGTCTCTAATCTTTGCATCAGAAGCCATAAGTTCAGAGCCAGCCTGGGCTTCATGAAAACTGTCTCAAAAAATTAGGCAAATTAGCTGACTTTCCCTTCCAAATTATATTTTGTTACTCTGCAAGAGAAAGAGACCACAGTTCCCAGCAGTTTTCCGTGTCCTTGTTAACTGATTTGGTCAGTTACATGCCTTCCCTAGTTTGAAATGGTGTGTGGTCATCACTGTATTCCCTACCATTAACTCCCTGCCTGCTCTGCCATGATGTAACTTCCCCAGAAATTACAAAGGCTGGAATGTGGTCACTTTCATCATTTCCGACTTTGCTGAATGCCCAGCTTGATCAGGAAAGTAAAATATAGCAGTATGGTAGGAGTTAGTGGACTTCAGTCAAGGCCCCGATCAGTAAAGTGCTGAATGCTGAAGTTTTGTGGCAGTTTGATTTTTTTAATTCAAGTGGATATAAACCTCTACTTAAAAGCTAACTGGTTTATGTCGTGCTGTGTGTTCCTGTTTCAGGGCTACCTCTACAGCTCGGCAGCGCAGCTCTGTGGAGTAGAGCTTAATGGAGAATTTTGCCAATTGCAAGAAATGGTCATAAAAAAAATACCAGTTCGGTGACAGAATAAAGGTATCTTTACAGTATGTTTTCTGTTACCTTCTATGAGTCTTACCTAATTGCTTCTGTTTTCTAACCCATTGCTGCTGTTGTGTAGAAACTGACTGAGTTGACCTGTTGTTTTATTAGAGAAGTTTCCTTTTCTTTCTCCATATCAGACAGGGTTTGGGTGGCAGAGCTGTAACTCTCCAGAGGTTAACTGTCAGTGTGTTTTATTAAGCTGAAAATGAAAGGCCTTGTACAGCTCATGACTGTTTTGATAGCATCTGTTGAAGCCCATCTGTCCTTCCAGGCTCCTTCTTGGCTTTTGCTTTTTTTTTTTTTTTTTTTTTTTTTTAAAAAGTCTGTGTTTTGCCTGCATGTGTGTGTGTGTGTACCATGTGAGTGTCCTTTGACCACAGAGGCCAGAAGAGGACACCAGGTGCTGTGTGGTTGTAAATCACCGTGTGGGTGCTAGGAACAAAGCCTGGGTCCTCTGCAGAAGCAGCAAGCGCTCTAACTGCTGGGCCATCTCTCCTATCACCGTTTCTCTGTGTATATGTTGAGGCTTTTGTTTGTTTTGTGCGGGGTGAGTGATGGTCTTTTGTAGCCACTCCTGCAGTCTGTGAAGTCTTGGTTGTTTGCTCATACCTGGGTGAGAAACAAGACATAGGGTATGATTCGGTGGTCAGTGCCTACCTTGTATACACAGAGCTGGGGGTCTGATCTGAAAAAAAGAAAAAGTAGGAAAACACCGCTGGTGAGGTTCTAAGCACGTTGAGTGAGTGAAGACCGTGGCTGAGCTTCTTCAATGTGTGGCCATGGGTAAGTAGTTGGGGAATGTCTAAGGTCTTCTGTCAGGCTGGGCTCACCCCCTAGGGCAGGCGTTCCGGTGTCTCAGCTGGGTGATCAGGAGAACCCTGGCAGCTTAGCAGAGAGGAAGGGGCTTAGAGCTGTCAGTTCTTGGCAAACCGTGTTCATCTCTCCTTTGCTGCCTTGTTTTCTGTCATTTCCTCACCCGTCAACTAGGCCTGCTCTCTCCTGGTCCATATGCCCTGTTTAATCCTACCCAGAGAATAAGTCTGGGGGAAAAGCATGTAGGTTCCTAAACTAACTTTAAACCAGGTCTTTTTCTTTTTAGTATTTCTCTCTATGCCCTTACCTGCTACTGCCAACTACTTATGGAGGAGGTTCTGTAGCAAAGCAGGTCAAATTTATTCTAGTTCAGAAATCAATTTCTCAGTTTCCTCTAAATTCCTTACAGCTTTCTCCCCTGTTTTTCTTAAACTTCAAATTGGTTTGGTTTGTTTTTGTTTTTGTTTTTCAAGACAGGGTCTCACTATGTAGCCTTGGCTGGCTACTCACTATGTAGTAGGTTGGCCTCTACTCAGAGATCCACCTGCCTCTGCCTTCCAGGTGCTGGGATTAAAGGCATGTGCCACCACCACTACCCAGCTAAACTTTGAAAATTTTGTGTCTGCTGTTTGTGTTCATATTTCGCTCATCTTTCTTGGTTTGTAGCTTTTTTTTTTTTGAGACAGGTTTTCTCTGTATTGTTTTGGAGGCTGTCCTGAAACTGGCTCTGTAGACCAGGCTGACCTCGAACTCACAGAGATCGGCCTGCCTCTGTCTCCCGAGTGCTGGGATTAAAGGTGTGTGCCACCACAGCCCAGCCTGCCTTCTTCTATTAAAAAAAAAAAGTAGTTCCATGTTGTCATTATAGTAGAGTGTTGGTAATACGTGTGTTTGTTTGATCTACTCCCTTGACCTGCATCGTTTTACATTCTCCTGTCCCTTCCCTCTAGACTAGCACTAAACTTTCATTCTTTCTTATCATTTCTCTTCCCTTTGATTACATTGGAGAGTTACATCACATTACTATATTATACCATATTTGGGCACAGGTACTATGTCTCGTTTAACCTGGTTTGTCTCCCTGCACAATATCTCACATATAAGAGGTATCCATCCAAAATTCGCTAAGTTGAGCTTGGTTGTTTTGTGGTTTCTGTGCTGCCAGCAGTCCAGAGCCTGCCCCTAAGCGTCCCTTAGGGTTTTCCTGGCACCCTGAGAGCACTTCTGTCGGCAGCCATGATTAATTGGTCCTTCTGGGTCCTCTTTCCCTAGTCTGTGCAGTACAAGGATGCCGGAAGAAGAAATAAAAAGTAAAGATAGGTAGGAAAGAAAAAGGAGGAACAAAGGATAAGAAGAGGATGAAGATAAATCGTCTGATTAGTTTACATGTCTGTTGCATAGCCAAGCATGCAACATGTTTATAATGTCTGAAATTATTAACTGGGTAGTTTGTGACAAGAGCCTTACCCTCTGAGCTGTCTCTCTGGCTCAGCTGTCTTTCTTTTTCATTGAAGACTGTGTCAGAGATGTGCTTAAAGATTCTAAGCCATCCAAAAACAATACAGAGAAACCCTGTCTAGTAAAACCAAAAAAAAAAAAAACAACAGGTTCTAAGCCAAATGAATTAAAGCTTTAGAATGTTTTTTTTAAAACCAGAACATACAACACCTTGCATATCATGTATTTGTAAGGCTTGGATATTTATTTGAAAATAACTCACATGCCTTAAGGTAAAGGTTTTTCTCTTCCTTTTAAAGTAAAATCTGTTTGTTTTGCTCCTGAGCAGATAAGTGTTACCGTGCCTGTGGTGGCAAAGCCTTAATTATAGTTTAAGTTTTTGAGTTATATAGGACTTTTTAAGATTTACGTATTATTATTGTAATTATTGTATTACTGTGTATGCATGTTTTGACTGTGCGTATGTCTGTGCACCACAGAGGTCAGAAGGCACTGGCTTCCCTGAGACAGGAGTTACAGAAGGTTATGAGCTGCCATGTGGGTGCTGATGATCAAACCTTGGTCTTCTGGAAGAGCAACAAGTGCTCTTAACCACTGAACCAACTCTTCAGCCCTATACAGTGTTTAAACAAATTGTTTTTGCTTCTTTTTTTTTTTTTTCTTGGTGGGTGATGGAACTGTGGAGTTACAGACAGCTATTAGCCACCGTGTGGGTGCTGGGAACCAAATCCTGGTTCTTTGCAAGAGCAGTAGATGTTCTTAACCAGTGAGCCATCATTCCAGCTCCTTGAGGGTTTTTTGTTTTCATATCCACCTTTAAATTTTTATACTGTATAATAAGGACTGATAACCACCATGAAAAAGTACCTTCCTGACAGTACAAATCTACCTAGGCAGAGCCATAATTTACACCCAGATCCTTTGGCTCTTAAACCTAATGGTGTAATTATAATGGAAAAAATTATGACTCGGGGAACACATTATAATGAAACAAATAATTTCATTCAAAGCAAATATTTGTTTGTTTGTTTTAAGGCAGGTTTTCTCTGTGTTAACAGCCATGCCTGTCCTGGAACTCGATTAGTAGTGGACCAGGCTGACCTCGACCAAATTCACTGAAATCTACCTGCCTCTGCCTCCCAATTGCTGGGACTAAAAGCGTGCGCTGCCACTGCCCAGCAAAGCAAATCTTCTTTATGAGCTTCTGGGTTTATTAGATACTAAGAACTCTCTGTGGTCTTCACAGCATCCCAAGCCAGTAGGCATTTCTTAAGTGGCTGCATGATGTAGTCTCCTCGTTTCTTACATGAGCTCATTCTTCCTTAGGTGCTTCATGCAGACATCTGTACCCAAGGTTCACTTCTGCAAAGTGCTGATGTCATTGTAATGAATAATGTCTTCGAATATTTTCTTACTGAGCCTGAACAGGCAAGGTATGTTATTTACTGAAGCAAGAAACCTGTTTTTAAAATATATCCAGCAAGGTGTGAAAAGAGACTAGAAAGGTAGAAAAGTTCATGCTAACTTTAAAATGACAAACTCAGCTTGTTTTTAAAATAATTTTTATTTATTCTTTGACAATTTCATACATGATATCAACTTATTTAAATCAGGAAGCATTAAATACAAAATGCAAAATTTTGAAAAGACTGGTTTTGTAAAGTTATTTAATTTTATAAGCTTACATGTATTTATTTGTGTATGAATCCTTCCTCTCCTCCCTGTGCAGATGTTGCTAGTATATAGAAAGTGACCACCAAAGCTTTCTCCCCCTGGGTGCTTAGGCCCTGAAGACTGCTCCCCTGCAGAGTGCTCCTAGTGAGTTAGCTAAGCCTGCGTCCCTGTCAGCTGTATACCATAAGCCCTGACTCCTGTTCAACCGTGTGTAATAAGCACCCTGAGCTTCCAGGTGATGCAACTTCTCCATCCAAGAGCACAGCCCACCCAACCCTAGTTTTTCTGTACGTGCACTGTCTCCGTTTTTCATTCCCTCATTGCTCCTAGTCAGGGTTCTGACCCAGGCCGTACGAAGATGCACTTCTCCGTTAGTCTGTGGCAGTGAATTCAGCTGAATAACTAGTCCAGGGCATCCTGAGCTCTGTGAGACCTGTCTCACATAAACAAAAAGAGCATGCTTATACAGTTCTTTAGTCTTGTATTAAATCAGCTTCTAAAATACATCATTTTTAGGACCACATCCCAGTTAAAAAAAAAAATAGCTCTAGCTGAACAGTGACGTTTATTATTGGATACTGCTATGTAACACTAGAAGTTCTGAAATTTATGAAACCTATGAGCCATAGGCTCAACCAAAGATAAGTGCAGATGATACCGCTACCCATCACCTCACCCATCTCCCTGCAAGGACTGTGTTCCCTTATATTGCTTCATTGCTGCTCCCTTCCCGCTGGTGTGGTAAACTGTCAAGGGCGTATGTAGTGTAGGAGGCCGTCCAGTTTATATCAACCCTGAGAGTTAAACAGGACTGGTCAGACACACACTGCACTCTGAAATGCATCCGCAGGTCCCATTTCATTAATCTCTAGAACTGACTGGTCCCACGAAACCTTACAGGTACCGTGTGACATTGGAATTCCATCCCAAAATACTCCAGACAGCCAAATGAGGTCTGGTCTCACTCTTGATGTGAGTTTTAAAAGGTCTAATACACACGTCTGTATTTTATTTTTGGTTTCTGGCTTCTGTGCCCTTTGTTTTCCCAGGACTCTTGATCTCCCCCTGCCCCTAGTAATCCCAGCCCTGGCTTCCGTCTGAAGGACTGATTCTCATAGAGAAAGGACAGAGCTTTGACGCTGGTCCTGCTTGACTTGTGTGACTCTGAACTTCATTTCTCCCTACTCAGAAACTTTCCAGTAGCCCACATCCCCATCTCGTTAATCTCAGAACTCTAACCTTGTAACTTTGCCAACACCCCTCAGGAACTGGAAAATTGGCCAATTTCTTCTGTGTCGCTGTAGTTCTGTTTCCTGTGGGTAAACATTTTGCCCATCTAGATTTCTAGATATCGTCTGCATTTTCTTTTGTCATCCTTATTCAGAAAAAAAAATCCAACGTCGAGTAAAAGCTAACCTGTCAGGCTTTTGCTTTGTGTTTCTTAGTGAGGTTTTGAGTTCTCAGCAAAACTGTAAGAAAGATAAAAAATTCCTGCATGCTCCCCCTACACACACACCTACAGAGTCTGTGCTATTATCATTGTTCCCATCAGAACAGAGTGCTTCTTATGCTGGGTCTTGGTTACACCATGGTCACCAGAAGCCCCCAGTCCACAGTAGCATTCACCCCGGTGTTGTGCCGCCCGTGTGTATGTCTAGATGTCTAATGACACGCACTCAGCCTTAAAACACCACAATAGTTTCACTGCCCTAAAAATCTCTTGGTCCCTGTCAGCCCTTGGTCCTGTACTCAAGCCTCACCCTTGGCAGTCACTGATCTTTTCACTAGGTCGAGCGTTACGTTTCCAGCTGGAGATAATTAGAATCACGCAATCTGGATTCCTTTCAGGTTAGGTGCTCTCTCAACCAATAGGCATTTCAGGTCCCCCTGTGTCCTCATGACTTGAGCACGCATTTCCTTTTAGAGCCAAACAACATGTAGTTGTCTTGGTATATCACACTTTGTCCATTCCTCTGAAGGACGTCATAGTTGCTTCCAAGTTTGGGTGATTATGAATAAAACTACAGTACATGTTCATGTACAGATCGTTTTGTAGATACATGTTTGCAACATCTTTGTGAAAATAGCAAAGTGTACAGTTGCTGGTTGTATATTAAAGACTACATCCTGGGTTGTGTTTTCCATTGTTGTTTTGTTGAGATAGTGTTAATTCTGTAGCTACGGCCGGTGCCCTGAAGCTCACTATGTCTCCAGGCTGGCCTCCAGCTCAAGAGGAGCCTGTGGCCTCCGTGCTAGGATTCCAGGTGTGTAGCACCAAACTTGGTTGGGTTATAACTTAGAGGCAGAGTAGATTGTTACCATGCTTGTCTCTCTCCCCAGTATGAGAGAAAAAGAGGAAGCATTGAACAAGAGAACTGTCTCTATTCTGACTAATATGCAATATTATCTTACTGTTGTTTCATTGTATCCCTTTTTAACGTGTTCTAGTGCCTGGGGCTACATCATCCATAATGTAAGAAAACAAGGATCACTATTAGTGACAGTACCGAGTCTCCAAGATTCTCTCTTAGGTTTTAAGGTATGTAACCAGTTTTCCTTCTGTTGATTGGTTAGTTAATTTTGCTCTTGGTGGGAATTAAACGTAAGGCTCTTGAGCTGGGTAGGTGGGTGTCTGAGTTCAAGGCTATAGAAAGATTTCAGGACAGTCAGGGCTACACAGAGAAACCCTGTTGATGGGGAATGTCCTTCTGCATATGTTGCCCTTATTGGTTGATGAGTAAAACACTGTTTGGCCAATAGAGGCAGGAAGACAGGGAGGACTAGGAGACAAAGAAGTCTTTGTGTGTTTGTTTGGGGGCGAATTGGCTGTGGAACCAGACTGGAAGAAAACTCCAGTTATACCCTGTATCAAAAAAATACAAACAGAAATTCTCTAGGGCGCATGCATGCTAGGCAAGCCCTGTACTACTACTGATCTGTATCACCCACCCACAACATCTTTCTTATCAAAACTTTGCTTTTTTCTGATAACTATTATAACATTCTAGACATGGCAAGACTGTGTTGCTAAAGTTCTGCTTTGTGGTTTATTTTTCTACCCTCAAAAGCACTGAAGTACAATTCATATCTGGATATAGATTCCCTAGTGAATGCAAATAAGTTACTAACTCCCTCCCCTCAATCATAGCTAAGGAGGAAGGATAAGCCCAGCCACATGGGAGGCTGAGACAGAGGATCACTTGAACTCACTGGTTTGAGACCAACCTGGTCAACAGAACCCCCTTCTCAAAAACTAAGCTGGGAAAATGAATACTGAAATCATAGTACTGTTCTTTAGAGCAGAAGGAATGGATGATGGATGCATTTAGGCCAGTCGGGCTACATATCCAGACACTGTAATACACAATAAGAAGCTGTAATATGGTCAAAGTCGTCCCAGGATTTCAAGTAGAGTGGAAGACTGTTCTTCATGCAGTTTGATTCCCTAGGCATTCTTGAACACTGAACCATCTCTATGCCTGTGCTTGTTATAGCACAGGAACTAATCAACAATGTTTAAGACATATATTAATCCCTATTTACCATCTTCATTTCCTCCTTGTGAGAACCCTGCCTGTCAGTAATGTGATCTACCATAGTTTTCCGTTCTCATAGAAACATCCCTTTTAAAATGTATTGTTGGTCAGGCATAGTGGCACACGCCTTTAATCTCAGCACTTGGGAGACAGGCAGGAGAACTTTTTAAAGATTTATTTATGGCCAGGATAGTGGTATACATTTAATCCCAGCACTCAGGAAGCAGAGGCAGGTGGCTCTTTCTGAGTTCCAGGCCAGCCTGGTTGGTCTACAGAGAAAGTTCCAGGACAGCCTCCAGAGAAACCCTTTCTCAAAATAAGCAAACAAAAATTTATCTATGTGTATAACTATTTTGCCTGCATATATGTTTTTGCAGAGTTTCCCTAAGCCATTTGGCCCCAAATAAACACACAAAAATATCAATTATGAATCTGTTGGCTGATGACTAGGGCTTCTTATTGGCTAGCTCTGTCTTAATTATTAACCCATTTTTATTAATCTGAGTATTTCTACATGGCCTTATCTTACCAGAGAACACCCAGCACATCCTATCCTCCTGGTCCATCTTGACTCTGCCTGCCTACGTTTCCCAGAATTCTCCTCATTTCCTAGTCCCTCCTATCTTCCTGCCTTATTAACCAACAGTGTTTTATTCATCAGCCAATAAAAGAAACATATATACAAAAGGACATCCCCCATCAGTGTGTATATGCGCCCACACTGCTTGGTGCCCACACTGGTCAGGAAAGAGCATGTGATTCCTTGGAACTGGACTCAGGAATGGTTAAGCCACCGTGTGAGGGTACTGGGAACCAAACCTGATCCTCTGCAAGATCACCAAGATATCTTAACTACTGAGACATCTCCCCAGTCCCTAAAATAACAGCTTTAATACTATGCACATAAATCTGTCGTAACAGCCAAAATTGACACCTATAATTTTGGCAATCCAGAGACAGCAACAAGGAGGTTCATGAATAACCTTGAGGACATCCTGGCCTATATCAAAAGATCTGATCTCAAGAAAACCAGAACATGCCAGGCGTTGGTGGCGCACGCCTTCAATCCCAGCACTCGGGAGGCAGAGGCAGGCGGATCTCTGTAAGTTCGAGACCAGCCTGGACTACCAAGCGAGTTCCAGGACAGCCTCCAAAGCCACAGAGAAACCCTGTCTCGAAAAAACCAAAAAAAAAAAAAAAAAGAAAGAAAGAAAACCAGAACATGAGATCTAGAGAGATAACATGTGCCATATACATACACAAATAATAAATATAATAACTTGCTTAAAAATTTTAAAGTTAGGCATGTTGGTGCAGGTGTATAATCCTAGTATGTGGGATCTCTGGGAGTTCGAGGCTAGCCTGGTCTACAGAGTAAATTCCACGATATTCAGGACAGTTACACAGAAAAACAGTTGGGGGGGGTTTATGAAAGAGATCTTATTCATAAACTGATGAGTTTGTTGCTTTCTTACTTAAGAGAACAACTGTGAGGCCACTGTGAGGGATGACTCAGCAGGTAACAGCTCTTGCTGTTCAGGCCTGGCAACCTGGGTTCAATCCCCAGATTCCACATGGTGGGGAGAACTGACTCTAGAGGGCTGTCCTTGAGAATGTGTGTGTGTGTGTGTGTGTGTGTGTGTGTGTGTGTGTGTGTGTGTGTGTGTATGTCAACTCCATATTTGTTTAAAAGGGACTACTTTAAGCGGATTTGCAGGATGGTGGCTCCAGAGTTTATAGGGTTAGGGTACAGTGTCATGCAGGCTGTAGAGGGAGATCGCTCCTCTCCAGTCTGAGAGAACGAGAACACGTTTTCTATGCTTTGTTTGCATTCCTGCTGTTTCCATCTGTGATCATGTAAGTATTCAAGGGGCTGGAGAGATGCCTCAGCTGTTGAGAGTACTGGCTGCTCTTGCAGAGGTCTTGTGTTAAATTCCCAGTACCCACATGGTAGCTCACAACCATTCATGACTCCAGTTCCAGGATAATCCCCTTTACGCACTCCATAGGCACCAGGCGCACACAGGTGATGCACAGTCTACCTGCAAGCAAAAACACTCATAGACATAAAGTAAATATAAAAACATTTGATATTTAAAAAAAACTTGTTAAAATTTTTTCAAGTTCCAAAATCAGAGGAAAATAAGTCTCCAAGCCCACAAGTTGAGTACAACCAAAATTTATTCATGTGGTACTCTGTAACTTAGTGCAATTTGTGGTAATAACAGCCCTGTGGTGTAGGGGGCCGAGAGATGGTTCAGCAGGTAAGAACACTTGCTGTGCCTGCAGAGGACCTGGGTTAAATTCCCAACACCCGTGTGTCGGCTCACAACTGTCTGTAACTCCAGTTTCAGGGATCTGACACCTTCTTGTGGCCTTCTTGGGGACTAGACCCAGACATGGTATACAAACATGCATGCAAAATTAATAAATATAAAATAGAATAAATCTTTAAAAATAAATCTGTTGTGTAATCTACTTAGTTGGTAATTGTGAAATTCTAAATGGGATCATTCTGAAAATTTCATGTTGTTTATGCTTTTTTTTCTCATAGACTAATATGCAGCTGTCCTCCTGGGTAGAAGAGATACCATTGAACCTTGATGTGTTCCCACAAAGGGACATGGACAGAGAAGCTCTTGAACAAATTCACTTATATAGGGTTCTCTAGCACTGAAGTAACCTTCTCTAAGTGTGATATGTTAACCTGGGTGCTTTGTAGATCCCCTTTCGAGTTTTTTGGGTTTTATGTTTTGGATTTGGTTGTTTTGGTTTTGCGAGGCAGGGTTTCTCTGTGGCTTTGGAGCCTGTCTTGGAACTAGCTCTTGTAGACCAGGCTACAGAGATCTGCCTGCCTCTGCCTCCTGAGTGCTGGGATTAAAGGCGTGCGCTGCCGCCACCACCCCCTCACCCCCCCCACCCCCGGTTATTTTCTTTTCTTTCTTTTTTTTTTCAAGCTTTATATGTATGATCATGTACCTGTAAATAGCTGCCTATGATTATACATACACAGTAGTTGCATGTGGTTATAAATAAACTGTAAAGATAATATTTGTCTGAAATGTTTTGTTTGCCCTTTTATTCTGTTACAAACATAAGGGTATCTGTTTAGTCTGCATGCCACCTCCACTAGGCTTTTTGGTTTTGTTTTTTGTTTGTTTGTTTGTTTGTTGAGACAGGGATTCTGGGTATGACAGCTCTGGCTGTCCTGAACTAGTTCTGGGATTAGAGGTGCGTCATCACCCCCACCTGGCTGTTAACATGCCCCCTCCCAAATATGGCCTCTAGGGTGTCCAAGAGTGGCTTTCTACGTTTCTAGAAAAAAGGTGAAACTAGATAGAGCTCCCAAATACTATGTCAAAGTACTTGGTTAAAACAGGTTTAAGTTACAACTACCCAAGGTTCCTTCCTGTTCTTTCCCTATTCCTCCCCCTTCCTTTTTTTTTTTTTTTTTTTTTTTTTGTTTTTTTTTTTTGTTTTTCGAGACAGGGTTTCTCTGTGGCTTTGGAGGCTGTCCTGGAACTCGCTCGGTAGACCAGGCTGGTCTTGAATTCACAGTGATCCGCCTGCCTCTGCCTCCTGAGTTCTGGGATTAAAGGCGTGCGCCACCAACGCCCGGCTCCCCTTCCCTTTTTTTTTAAAGGCAGGATCTCCACCAGGCTACCCTCAAACTCACACTCTTCCTCAGGTGCCTTAGAATCACACCTGAGCTTTTCAAAAGCAACAAAAGCAAAACAAGCAAACAAAACCAAATTTCTGGATTTTGGCTCCAAGGGAGGAAAAGACAAGTCCTGACAATAAATGATCGATCTGAGACAATGATTGAGCATTTAGATTCCCTCTTTGTTTATTTTTCTTTGCCAAACAGACATTTTAATTTAGGGCAAACTGCAAGGTGCAGATGAGAGCTGTGTTTTCTGTCTGGAAACGGAGCACAGACTTAGAAAACACCAAGCGAAGCCCATCTTCTCAGAGAGAAGATGAAGAGTTCTGGAAACCCACCCCTGGACACTGCAGAGCACACAGTTTATAGTACACAAGGAAGACGGAGGAGGTCTTAGCTGGCTGAGGAGCTGGGACATCCTACACTTCTGGGAAAACGCCGAGTAGTTCAGATGTTTGGAAAAGTTGGGCAGCTCAGAGTGCTGAAGAGTCACTCCTAGAAACACACCCAAGAGAAGGGAAATAATGTGTATCCACCCAACTGTGGGGCTAGGGGTGTGGCGGTGGCACTAGCTTGGAGCCAGCACTCAGGAGCCTGAGACAGGATTGCCAGTTCAAGACCAACCTGAGCTACACTGACAAGCTCCTTTCAAAAACAAAACAGGACAGTGGGGGCTGTATACACGTGATTCTCAGAGAAGGTATTAAGAATTACTCAAATTTTACTAGGTTAATCAGGAACCAGGATAATTGTAGCACTATCACTATTGGACGTAGGCATAAAGTCCTAACTGAAATATAACCCCACAGTCTTCTCTTTGTGTTCTCACGCATGTTCCCTGGGGACCTGGGTGGATGTCCACCATAGTCATAGTTGTTATCCATGAATAGCACTAGGGATACATTTTACTTTATGAATGATTATACACATGAAACAAGGCGAAACTTGCTGACCAAAGTCTAAAACACAAAGCAGGATGTCTCCAAGTCAGGAAAGTGTGGGGTCTAAAATTTTTCCGTATTTAATAAGTTTGCTGAGGATATCAACAGATTAGTTCTGAAGCCAGCATATACATGTATATTCAAAACTGAAGGATCAGGGCTGGGGTACAGTGGTGCACACCTGTAGTCCTGCACTTGGAAGGTGGAGGCAGAATGATGAGTTCAAGATCATCCACCATTACCTAGTAAGTTCCAAAACAAGAGACCAAAAATAGAGAAGAATGACTCCTTATAGGAAAAGAGGCAGCAGTGGTCAAATACATGATTACAAGGCTCTCTGCACTTGAGGTTCTAACTGCATCTAATGTTGACATTGTGCATAGTTTTACTGAAATGGCTTCATAACCATGGTGTGACTACAATACTAAGACAGTAAAAACTTCCCATGGTGAAAACTGCTCATCTCAATCCTTCCAACTTTCCTCCTGTGTGTCATCCATCTGTCCTTACCTTCTGCCCAGGCAAACACTGATCTTGCTTCTTTGTATTGATCTCTATTTAAACTCATTGAAAATGTTTAATAAGCAAATGTTAAGCATGCAAATTGAAAGTATGAAAATATATATAACCCTATCATCTAGCAATATACAATGGCAATATTTTGATCTTTTTTTATAAAAAATGAAAATAATGTAAGCACACTGTACCAAAAATGAAAAAAAAAAAGCATGTCAAACACAAAAGGCATAGAAAAGGCAGGGCATGGTAGCTCACATCTTTAATCCAGCTCACAGGGGCACAAGCAGACAGACCTGAGAGCCTGAGACCAGCCTGGTCTACGCAGTGAAATCCAAGCCAGTCAAGACTACTCAGTGATATCCTGTCTCAAAAATTAGGAACAAAGGGGGGGGCATATAGAAAGTGTACTTCACATGCTTAGCACATAGTAGGTACAAAAACAATTTGTTGAAAATGATGAATAAATGCATGCGTGAAGGTAGAAATGAAAGTTCCCCAAGAAAACTGTGGGGGGGAGTATCTTTTATTTCTGGAATTATGGGTGTTTGTCATTACACCCCATTGAGTTTTTTAAAATTTCTTTCTTCGTTTGACTTTAGGATGTAGAACATGATACAATAAGCGCTTGCTTCCTGGAGCTGGGGAGATGGCTGAACGGTTAAAAGCTCTGGCTGCTCTTCAGGGGACTCCAGCTCAATGCTCAGCACCCACACGGCAGTCCACATCTAGCTGCAACTTCAGTTCCGTGAAGCCGGTGCTCACGTCCGGCCCCCACCAGCACCAGGCACCCGTGCAGTACACGAACATATGTGCCGGCAAAACACCCATACACATAAGACGGAAATAAATGCTTTAAAGACAAAAATAGCTTTCAAGGCTTCTATTTCAGCGGTTACAAATCTTGCACCACACTCACTGAGAAAAAATGCTGTCTTGTATGCCTCATATTAATATAATACAAAGGACGTGTTACATAAATTCTTCCTGATGACTGAGGTATCCCAAAATTCAGGGTGGGGAGGGGGTGTGCTTTTCTGCTTTGATTCTTGAGTTCTGAGACTATATATACTATTTGGTCTGAGAAACCTCAAACTGGGACTCCTCCCTAGGATCACAAGCGTGTATCACCATGCCTGGCCCACAGTTGTTTTTGAATTATAAATCTCAGAACCGCTTTGCTGCCTCGGGGGAAGGGGGAGGTGCTCTTTGTACGGTTAGAAACAGCCACGAACTACAAATAGCGAACAACAGTTTTCGATCATCAAACCATCCTTGTTTTCGTGGAAAGTGTTTTTACTTCACTCCGCAGTCTTTCCATTCCTGACCACAGAGTCGTAAGGGATCTTTATCAATAACACCATCTCTGCACAGGAAGGCTATTCCTCCGTGATGACTCCCGCTGGGCTGGCTTCTCACTCTACCCTGGCCTTCTTCTATTGCAGGCTGCTTCAGCACGGCTACCGTTGTTGACCCCCATCTGCTGTTTCACATCTTCTGTTAATTTCCTCCTTCATGATGGGCTAGAACTTGTTTTGAATGCGTAAAATCGGATGCCCTGTCTGAGGTTAGAATAACAAAGACGTGGCCACACATGGAATGTCACCCTCTTCTGCTCTCTCGCCTGCTCAATCTGATGAGGGAAACTGCCATGATGTGTGGGACCCACTGGTAGGTTCATAAGGCAAAACAGAGTGAGCCTGGAGAGCTGTATTCCCAGCACTCATGAGGCAGGGGCAAGAGGGTCAGAAGTTCAAGACCAGCCTAGGCTACTCAGTAATTTGAGGATAAACATTACCAGTAGAGACATAAGGCCATCACTACCACATTCTGGAAGAAAATAATCCTCGCCTATGCACACTTTGAAACTACCCCAAAGATGACTTGCAGCAGACAAACCCTTGCGTACAACCTGGGCTGTACAGGTGGTTTTGAACTACGTGATACGGGTGCTAGGAACTGAACTCCAGTCCTCTGGAAAAGAGCACCCATCTACCCGCTCCAAATTCTATTTAATTTTTTGGAGCAATTTGTTACACATAAATCAGTGACTAATGCATCCAGTCACGACAGAGCATGCAATTAATCCCCAAACACAGGAGGTAGAGGCAGAAAGGCCCAGAGTTCAAGACCAGCCTCAGGTACATAATGCATTCAAGGCTATCCTGGGCTACAAGAAACCCTGTCTCAAAAATAAATAAATAAGGTGGGTGAGATGGGTGAGCAGATTTTAGTGCTTGCTGAGCAAGCCTGGTGACCTGAGCCCACTCTCTGGGCGCCACCGTGGAAGGAGAACACACTCCTGAAAGTCCCCTCTGACCTCCACGTGCACAGCACAGTTTCAGTGCGTCTGAAGTCTCTCTCTCCCTCCCTCCCTCCCTCCCTCTCTCTCTCTCTCCTCTACCATCATCATTTTTATTAAAAGAAGTAAAACTAAAAAGAACAGATTACCTGTTCTTAAAAATATATCCTTTGAGCCAGGTGGTGGTGGCACACATCTTTAATCTCAGCACTTAAGAGGCAGAGGCAGGTGGATTTCTGTGAGTTTGAGGCCAGCCTGGTCTACAAATCAAGTTCCAGGACAGCTATGGCTAGCTGTTACACAGAGAAACCCTGTCTAGAAAAAAAAAAAAACAAAACAACAACAGCAAAACATATTCGGGGAAGTTGTTTTTTTTTTTGTTTGTTTGTTTTTATTTATATTTTTTAAAGATTTATTTATTTATTATGTATACAGTGTTCTGTCTGCATGTATCCCTGCAGGCCAGAAGAGGGCACCAGACCTCATTACAGATGGTTGTGATCCACCATGTGGTTGCTGGGAATTGAACTCAGGACCTCTGGAAGAACAGGCAGTGCTCTTAGCCCCTGAGCCATCTCTCCAGCCCTGTTTATGAATTTTTAAGTAATAAAGTTCATTAAAATGTT